AAGAATTGAGATTGTATATATAAGTTACGTTTCTACCTGCTTGCCAGAAAACGCGCACGCTCGTTGAGCAAGTTTCTCGAGAGGCGTGTCGCTGCTAGCTACAGGTGGTTGTACCTCATTCCTCCTACTCTTTCCTGATTTCGTTCGTTGTTTCGATTTCTTTATCTTATATTCATATTGTTATATAGTTTGCTTTTCTAATTCTATTCATATGTTATTTGGCATAAATAATTTTTTTTCAGTTAGATATATTATATAAATTACACTATATAGATATATATAATATTCATCTTTATATTCAATTATTTAATATGCTTCGTATTATTCTATTTTTCAACAATACAGTATAAATTCTGTTTTTTCTTTTTCTATCTTTCTCTTTTTGTTCTCTTTTGATATTATTAAATTTTTATTTCTTTTATATTTTAAATTAGAAAAATATTCTCCATTTTAATCTCTTTTTCTTTTTTTCTGTTTCTTTTTCTTATTCTTATCTTTTATAATAATATGTAATAATTTAATAAAAAAGTATAAATCTACTTAATATAAAATTATAAGTATATTAAATTGAATTGAATATATACTGCAATTAATAACGTCTTCTTAATCGATATACTATTTGTATCTTTTTATATCAATATTCAAATTGATCTCATCATTTTTAGATTAATGCAAAATAAAAAATCAATCAAAAGAAAATATTGCTTTAATTTTTTCATTTTTATTTTTTTCCATTTTTTCTTTTATCAATTTAAATTTTACTCGAAGATTTGGAATTAATGCATTTATAATGCATAAAAAATTGTAAATAAGAAATATATAAGGAATATATTGAATCTTCCTATTTTTCATTTCTTCATATATTGGTTTTTCGAGTATGAGTCAACTCGTGTTTGATGCTCACTCATTCGGCCCTGAGTGAAAGATTCTCTGAATGAACTCTAAAGATAGAGACCCTCTTATATCCTTTCATCCTCTATCTTCTTTTTACCTTTCCGTTCGTTCTTCGCATAAGTATTTTTTTCTTTCTTCTTCTTTTTATATTTTTCTTTTTCTTCTCTGTTTCCTTTTCTTTTTTTTTTTCTATTTTTTTCTTTTACTATTGCTTTTTCTAATAATGCTTCAATCGAACACTCTTTTCTAACAATCTTTTTTTTTCTATCTTTCTTGTTAATCTTTCTAACAATATAGTAGGAATTTAATTAATTCATTAAACATATGATTCAATTTTTTAAATTAGATGTGCTTAATGTACAAATATTTGGGAAATATTTCTAAGAAATATTTAAAATTTGTTATGCTTTAAATTAATCGAAATAATAATTAAAATAAATGAAAATAGTAAATTAATAATAAGTGAAAATAGTAAAAAATGATTTATAGAATGAAAATAATATAGTTTAGAAATTGATTATAAAATAAATAAATAATTGAAAACGGATAATTAGGATGAATATTTTTTATAATCTATATCTATCATTTATATAATATAAATAATCATATCTTTTTTTAGATAATAATAATTTAAAAAAAAATTCAAATTTTTTTGTTTGATTTTATAATATATATACGTATATATATAAGTTATTCGAAATGAAAAATCAACAAGGATCGCGTTACATATTATCTTATCTATCAATTGTTAAAAATTTATATAACGGATTAATATGAACGATAGTCAAAGATAAATATTACAATTAAGGGTTTATATTGAAATCTATAAATAAAAAATGAAATTTAAATTGTTACATTTGTGTGCACAAAATAATACACACAATACAAAAATAAAACTTACATTTTTCTCCTTTTTTTGTTACTTGTATTATTATTTTCTATATTCTTCGATGTATTAAGTTCTTCACTATGAATTTCTTTTTTTCTCTTTTTTCTTCTTTTACACGTTTATTTTCCTTTCACAATTTATTTCTTTCAGGATTTCACATTTTTATACGCGCATTTTTCTCATGCTACTTTCTTTTATAATTTTATTCTTTTATAATAATAACTATTTTTTTTCCATTTCCACTCTTTTCTTTCTTCTTTTTTTTTCTCTTCTCCTTTTGCTTTTTCCTGTGTTTTCCCTCCCTCCCTCCCTCCCACCCTCCCGCCCAGCTTGCCTTCTACCCCCTATTTTTCTCTTTCTCACTCTTTCTATCTCCCCTCCCCTTTTTTCAACTTTCAACAAATTCACTTTTGATCACTCTCTCCTTATAAAAAAATATTGTGTTGATGAAAAACTCATTTGCCAGTTTTAGAAAAAAACGTATGTATCTTAACCGATTCTTTTCTTTTTTATCAATTTCATAAGTATCAATAATATTATCACTTCACTAAATATTTTGCATGTGTCTCTATAATATACATGAACGATTCTTTCGATCACTGTTACATTAAAAAATCTTATTTTTTTGTATTTCTGTCTATTATAAAACAGTTCCTTCTTTGAGGCAATTCCTCAAACGTCGCGGAAGGAAACACGCGAGACAAGTACCACCGCGGAACTGTGGTATCGCGATCTCGAGAAAGGCGCGCGCGCGGCAGAATGCCCGCCTGCCTCCTCGACCACCCACCCCCTTACAGCTCCAGCACTGTCGAGTTCGTCGGAGCCGAACAACGCGAGATATATCGAAGGACAGAGCCGTTCTCCGACGCGATCCACCGCGTACAGGTAGGCCGTACGTGACAATCCAGAGAACTGATCGGATTGGCCTTTAAACCATGGGCGAGATTTCCTTTTCGCATCTCTCTACCCCCCCCCCCTCCCCCCTCTACACAATTTGTCTTTTTTCTCTCTTCTTTCTTTCCATACATTTATTTATATATCTGTTTGTCAGCTTATCTATTTACATATTTATTTATTTATCATCTGATTTTTATTTCTTTCTCTTTTAATATATCTAAAATATACGTGTATTGCGCTTATTTTTTATTTCGTCTTTTTTTTTTCTTTTTTTGAGTATGTGTTCTTTTTTTTGATTTGATTTTCTTCTTTGACTTCACTTATTCTTTTATATAATTTATTTAAATATGCAAAATAATTAGAAAATATTTAATATATTTAAAAATATATATTCAAAAATTTTTATTGTTAATTTAAACAAATTTTTTTTTCATTGTTTTTGACATGACCGTATCTTTGATTACATAAGATTATTCTTTTTTAATAACCATTGTCAACATCATCATTAATGTTTCTATTATCATTATTATAAATATTGTCATTATTATCATCAGCATTACCATTGTATATTGTCACAATTTATTATAACTAGGTTAAATATTGACAATATTATAATATCATTTCTATCAGCAGCATCATCATCATCATCGTCATCATTATTATCGCTACCAACAATATCAGTTCCATCTACGTTTCCATTACATATATCTATTTCCATCATTATTTCTTATATAATTATTACCTCTATCGTTTTCTTTTATATATGGCTTTTTTTACATGCAGTATATTATTTTTGATTAATATTTTTCGATCTATTACTTAAAATATTTTTTATTATTTAATGCAGTATATACATTTATGTAATTTTTTAAATATATTTTTTTTATAAATAATATTCAATAATAAAAATAAATAATAAATACAGTTAAAAAAATGAAAAAATTTTCCTTTCAAATTTAAATTTAAATATAATAAATATTTTACATACGTTTCCTGCATTCTATGTGCAGAAAACGTAAATTTGATTTTAATAAAGAAAAATATAATAATTTTAGAAATTGTATTCTAGAAATTTATATAATTTTCCATATTGTTTTTTGTTATTCTGATTTTTTCCAAATACTGTTTATTGTTAATTATTGATAAAGAACTACTTTAGAATTTGTCTCGTCATGGTTCACGTAAACTCACGTCACGGTTGCATCAACTGACGTGAACTCATTACATCATTTCACCTTTTCCGCTAAATATAACAAATGTATTTTATATAGAAATGTGAAAGTTGTATTAAATTATTATTAATTTTTTATCGAAGATAAAAACATATTTTCGTATAGATCAGAAAGTAGAATAAATTACAGGAAGAAATTAAATTCAATCCACTGATTAAATTATATATATATATAATAATTATATAATTATGCATAAATATTATATTATTTATTGCATAAATACTATTTTTAATGTTTTTGAGGTTTAAAAATTAAAAAAAAGTTTTAAAAATTTAACGATATAAGTAAATTTAGATTATATAATAAAAAAGATATTATTTTTAATAAATTTATAAAATAGATATAACTTTTACCTAGATATGATTTTTATAAAACATATAGAAATAGTCAAAAAATATTTATTGCATATAAAAATTTAAATTTTAAAAAATAGATATATAATATTTGTATAGTAAATCATCAATAAATTAAAATAAAAATTTACAAAATCTTAAAATCTTTCATAATTTTAAATTGAGAATAAAAAAAAAAATTCGACTTTTATCTCATTTAATATAAACATGAATTAATGACAAATTTATGACAAAATTGTGTCACTAAATAAATATCTTCACTGATAATAGAATAGAATATTGAATTTTGAAGACTCGAAGCAAAGAGTATAGTAGAATTAAGATTGATTAAAATAAAATATACATATTCATATATATTGAATATTGTATATATAATATGAAAAAAATTTGTTAAATTATATATAGATTATGATAAATTATATATAGAAGAAGATTCATAAAATTCATAAAATAGAAAAAGATTTTGGAAATAATTTTTTTGAAATATACCAAAAGATATTTATCTATTGAAGATTATCTTAAATTTTAATTTTTTAATTCTTTATAAAATATTTTATAAATTTTAATTCTTTATAAATCCAATGTTATTTTTAACTAAATATTTTATTAAATTTTACATGCATTCCATTTATTTATGATGCATTTTTTTATGAAAAGATACTTTTTCACAAATGATACTTTGTGTAAATCTCGTTTATAAAATAGTTTCTTGAAACATTCATTCTCGAAACTCACGTAGTGAATCGTTAAGTTGACACAGCTTCTCGTAGCGTGATGACGGTCGTTGTCCCCCATGGTGGATTATATGCGCCGGCAGCTTCATTTCCTTCGACGAACATTAAATTAAATCGAAATCAACTCTACTGATTCGTTGAAAATTCAAAGAAACTTTATTATCAACTTGTAAAAATTTCCTTTGAACAAGAACACCAATAATAAACGATAAGCTATTGTATACACAAAATACATAGTCTCGCTTTTATTTTTTTTTTTTGTTTTTTATTAATATTTCTTTTCTTTTCGTTAATATTTATTTTCTTATATTTATTTTTTTTCTTAATACTTTTATTTTTCCATTTTTTTTATTATTCTTATATTTTTATAATATTCTTTTCTTATTTTATATATTTCTCATAATTTTATCATTGTTTTAGTTGTGCAATATTGAACTTTATCATGATTGAGAACTAGCCATGATGAGGAGGACTGATAGGTTTAATGTCTGTATCCGTACCAGTCAGTGCATACGCTTCAACTAATTTTCTCACGCATTTAACTTCAACATTAGCTAATTGTCTCCTTATAATAACTAGCGAATTGTTAAATCGTTCATCAAATAATCTTAATACAGGATTAAACGTCAAGTACATTTCTAGTATTATTTTCTCTTTCAATTTCATTTGATATCCTTTTCATCAATGTGCGCATCTTTATTTTCTCATTTTTAATTATATAGTTTTTAAAATTTTTTTATACTTTCTTTAATTTTTTTTAATTCTATTTTTTTTCTTCTTTCATCGTTACCACCATCTCCGTCACCACTCGCGCTTTTACTTCCACCACCACCATTATCACCATTACCACTACCTCTTTCTTTTCCACCGCTACTTCCACTTCCACCTCCACCTCCATCAGTACTACCATCACCATCATTGTCGCCACTACCACTGAATAGTCACCTCCACTAACACTATTTCTATTTTCACCTCTTTCTACTTTATATTTTATTCCTTCTTTTCTTCCTCTTGTTTTCTCTTTTTCATGATTCTTTTCCGTCTTGACTTTTTTTTTCTTTTCTTACCTTTATTTTTCTTTTAAGCTGTTACAAACTCGATAAGAAAGTTTCAATTTCCTTTCAAAACATGGAATGAACATCAGCATGTTCTTTTTTCACATAAAAATTTTCTATTTTTTATTTTTCGTTTAATAATTAATCGTATATTTTTTAAAAATTAGTTTTATATTTAAAATTTGGTTTTAGATTTAAAAAAGGATAGAATGATTTTGCTTTTTTCTTTGGCAAAATACGCGCAAAGAAATGCAAGATCACATGTGAAATATATATTTTCTCGTTGAAAATAAAAAGAAAATAATATAGATGAAAACAAACAAATAAATACGATAAGTTAATAATAAATCTTGCATAAATAGAACCGTAAAAGAGAGGGGAAAAATATAATAACATACGAAACGACACGCGGCACCAATTTGTCAGCTTCAGACCAAAGAGTAAAGTATCGATGATAGAGTAACCAATCACAGTGAATACTGACTCGGAATCGGACTGGTTGTATAGGGCAGTGAAGCACGCACACGCTTTGCCATCCTTTTTTGTTACGGTCGAGCCCCTCTGTAAGTACGACTGGCACTTAACGCGAATGGACGGTTAAAAGACCCTCCTGTACGAGTCAAGCGGCCACTCGAAACAACTACGATCAGCCTAGGTTCCTCTTACGCTCACCCGTTCATTGCTAACCCCCTCCGTTGATGCCTACTTCACTTCTCTTCCCCTTTCCTCCCTTTCGCTGTCTTTCAGTTGGCTTCTGCACGCGCGTGCTCGTGTTCTGTCACCGCGAATCATATCGAGTCATAACGAAATGGTTTATTCCATATACTCATAGAAGTTATCATATGGTCCGGAAACAGAATTCATTTGAGTTTTTCATTTCAATTCTTTAATATCATTTTGCCTCGATACATCGTTCTATTTTTAAACATAATCAAACATGAACTTTCGAAATAGAACGAAACATTTGTATGACTAGATAATGATATTCGATCATGTACGATTATCTTATCATTTTATAATGGAAATCGTAAAATGAAAAATCAAAGATCAGACGATTATTATTCTTTTTTTTTTTACTCGTCACTTATCAAGTTTCTTATATATTGGTTATTAATTTTTGAAATTCTAATGAATAAATAATTAATATATTAAATAGCTACTTTTTGCTAAGAAGTTCTTATTAATCATATATTTAAATTAGCAAGAGATTCTATGAAGAAAATTAAGGTTAGAGAAAAAGAAGAAAAATTGAATGTTCTTTTCTGACAAACAGATCACGATAGGACTATGAGCTATAAATAACTCGGCGACTTCTCTGAAAACGGAAAGTAGCTCGCCTTCGAGTTCCGTAGCAAATTCTCAGAATAGCTTTCTGGATCGGTGTTTGTCCGGTTGTTCGATCGCTTGACTAGCCACTTGTATTCTTTATGTACGATTATCACACATTCGCATTTAAAATGCGATTTTCAACTTTAATTATACATATTCTTTTTTTAAATCAAATATTAAAATGTTAGTGATAATTTTTTGTTCAATAAATTAATAAATCAAAATTTTCGAATAATTTGCGAATAATTTTCAAATATATGAAATAAATAAATCATTTATTTTTAAGTAAAATATGTCTTTTTTTATTTTAACAATTGGATTAATTTTTGTTCCTTTTTTTTATAATCAATTTTTTAATCAGCAATTACACTTTTCAAAATTATACGATTCCATGTCATTCGATTATATTGATTATCGAAGATGATATTAATGTTAGAGTAATCTAATAATACATATAAATATATATTATAAATTTATTTTTTAGTGTTTGCTAAACCGCCACCCGTTTTTATTAGATAAATAATAATATTAGACAAATAATACAAATGTTAATATATTTACAGATGTCTTTTCATATTTATAATCATTCATCAACGAAATTTCTTCCTTTTCTTTTCAATTATTTTCCTTATTTTCCCTTTTCTAATCTATTTTTATCATTTACTATAATTTTATTAATACTATCATAGTATGATTTTGATTATCTTAGAAAATTTGATTAGAGAATCTCTATATTAATTTATATTTCTCAGTGATAAAAGACTATGAGAATTAATGAATAATATTTGTTGAATAGTTAATAATTTATAAATGATATAAATAATTATATGAATTCAAGATGTAATAAGAATAATTAGTATATAAATATAACAAGCTGAAATGCAATTTAAACATTTATAATTCATTAAAAAGCGTGCATCTTTCGTTGACATCTTTCATTGGTAACGTTTATGTACAATATTCCTCTCAACTATGTCCAGATGCAATTGATATAAATTAAAGCGAACAATTAAAGAAAGCAAGAGAATGTCATTCTTTTCTCAATATACATTTGATAAGACAGCTGGACAGATATATGTACATATATGCTTATTTTATTACAATTATTTGTTTTTTAAACGATTATTTATTCGTTAACAGCTTCATTGAAAAGAAATATCATTTTAACAATTCAAGAACAAAATCGATTTATTAATATATCAATGTACTTTCATGGATTTTCATGATTTTTAAATATATATGATAGGATAAGATTTTAAACAATTTTTCCTTATGTATATATATATTAATCAGTTTTAGTTTTTGAAATGTTTGCAAAAAATAATATTACGTTGAATTTTGCCTATATATCTATGACAACATATGCATCAGATGTAATCTATTTACTATTATATCCAAAATATGAGTCACTTGATATTTATTGTTTGATCATTTCGATCATTGTAATTTCAACTAAAAATTATTTATTATCTTTTATTTTCGCATTTTACAAATTTCAAGAATACCTAATTCATAAATATTAAGTGATTTCTAGGTAATATTTTAATATAGTAATAGCAAGCATTTTTATATAAATATTTGAAAAATTAAAATTGATTATATGTATCTATAGGAAAAAATTGCTCAAAATTTTGTTTTTTAAAACATATTTAAATCATTAAAATCCATGAGAATGTTACTATGTCTATAGAATCATCAAAAACAGTATAAGTTTTATACAAAAAATAATCATTGAAAAGTTCCTTTTTTAAATTTATTTTTTATCTTCAATTTAGAATAAAAGCAATAAATATTGAAAAAAAACATTAAACAATTTAAATCAATTTAATTTAATTTTGATTCAATCTCTATTTTGATTCAATGTAAGTAAACTTTATTCAACTCGACTCGATTCGATTCAATTTAACTCGATTCGATTCGACTTGAACTGTATTCTTTCTTGTCCTGTTGCGTTCGGTTCCCTTCCTCCATTCCCTAGTCACGCGATACTCGAGACACTTAGACATACGACACTCGACACTCGACACTGAATACCGAGGACGAATCTAGACCTTAAAGACAATGACAACGTTACAATATAAAATTTTCTCCAAAACCGAAACTTTAGTGTCGATCGAGATAACAATAATTACAACAATGTATTTTCGTAATCGGTATCTCGAAAGACATACCTTGATATAGTCTTCGTTGAATGACAGCAACACCACAACGAACGGAATCCTTCTGATCTGGGCGTCGCGACGTTCTGCGTCTAATATACACCTCTCGGCGGGTGTTCGGTGCGCGCGTCCTTCTCTTTCAAGGGGAGGACCCCTTTCTTCGTCACCCCTTCAAGTTACCCAGAGAATCGCTGCGTTATCGCTGCCCCCCGGTCTCTTAGCTTCAAGTTACCTCCCTCGGCACTACTAGTTGCCCACCTAATTGCGAACAGGCAGAAATAGAGCCTGCAATCTTCTTCTTTGCAAATAACAAGTACCCTATCTCTTATTCATCGAGAATTTTTTCTTTTTTCCATGTTTCTCTTCTTTTTTTCCTCTCTTTCTTTTGCTATTTTTTTTTATCGTCAATTCATTTCATTACTTCCTTCTTATTATCTTTCATCATCTATCCAACATTTTTTTTCTATTTTCATTTAGTTTATATTTTTTTCTCTCCCTTTTTTTTTCTTCTTTGAATTATTTTTATTATTTCGATTTATGTTTTTAAGATTGAACGTAGATGCGCGATACAATGTTTCGAACTACATTTCGAAAATTGACAATGGCAAAAAATATATTGTAGGCGGCAGTGAAAGAACAAAGACAGTTGATTAACGATAATTTTAGGACGACACGTGGAATGACGAAGAAATTGCCTTAAGTACACGTGTCGTTGAATCTCGCTAAAACCGTGGGTGCCAAGGGTGCAGAGAATATCTAACCACTCTAACGGATAATAATATGCTCTGTATAAATAACTAAATATAATAGCAAACAAAAAGAAACTATTGAGAAAATTTTTTTAATCTGATCTATTTATAGAATTAATCATCTAATCATTTTGTCGATTTTTAATGATTTCTACTTCTTATTTTCTTATAAACAATGACGAGATTTTTTTTCATACTTTAAATGTATCTTTAAATAATTTTTTTTTATTTCGTTATATTTTTATTTTTTCAATCTTGCAAAAAAATAAAAAGTTATAAAAGAAAAATAAACATTGAAAAAAAGATATTATCAATTTTATATTCTATAATTCTATATAAAGAAAAGTGTTTTTATGTTGAAAAGATAACATAGAAAAAAGATATAATGTTTTTATATAGTTATTTTATAATTATTTTATAATATTAATTGCAACATATTGAATGCTTATTATAGTTTTATAATTTATTTTTTATTTTATTAATTATATTTTATAAATTTATAATTTTATTGATTTCTTTACAGTTTTAAAATCTGAATATTTGAACATCGAAAAAATTAATCGATGATCATTTTGAATTTGTGATAGTCATTAGAAAAGATAGATTCATTAGAAAATATCTTAATTGTTTAAAAAAAGATCTACTTTTGAAAAAAATATTAAAATATCTTTCTAAAAAACGTATATTTGTAAAAAAACCAATTTTAATTTTTTATTTTTGATCTTTTTAATAATCAAATAGAAATTGTTTAATTGATAGAA